GCCCTCCCGCTATCCATCCCGTTATCCCTCTCCCCATCCCGCTCTCCCGCTATCCATCCCGTTATCCCGATCCCGATCCCGTTATCCCATTATCCCACTATCCCGTTATCCCTCTCCCCATCCCGCTCTCCCGCTATCCATCCCGTTATCCCGCTCACCGCTCGGGCCGGCACCGCGTTCCCATTGGCCAGCCCTCGGCCCGTGCTGCATTGCCATTGGTCGATACCCACGTCACTCAGGCAGGAACCCCGCCCCCAGTGCCGTTCCCCGGGCCCGGCGCTGAGGGCCGGGAGAGCAGAAATGAGGAATTGAGGAATAAACGGGAAAGTCAAGGAGCATCCCCCGCTCCTCGCTTCCCACCTGCCACCAGCCTCTCCCGTCATTAACTCGGAGATACTCCATGGTTTTCCAAACTGCTGAATTTATTGTGCCAAAGAACCGCTGCGTTCCGCGTCCGCCGGTGCGGAGGTAAAAGTGTAAAAGTGTACAAGTGTAAAAGTGTAAAAGTGCTGGGATACAATTCCAGTTACAAGGAGTAATTATTCCATTACTGTACTGCCCACGGCACGGTCCCTGTCCGGGCACAGCTCCCACTGCCCCCCGCATTGCAGAGGTTTCTAGGGGATTTTACGGGAGAGCAAAGCTCCTGTGCAGGACAAAGCTGTTTGTTCCCACCGTGACACCCGGGCTCCAGTGGGAGCAGCCAGGGAACAGCCGGAGGGCCGGGAATGGGCTCCAGCCCCTGATCCCCCTCACGCCGCGTCACGCCGCGCTCTCCGAACCCGGGCTCCTGGGAACCGAGCTGGGCGACAGGTTCAGGATCTCTTCAAAGGAAGGGCCTTCATCCTCCAGGGGTATCTCTGCCTCGAACATGCGCTGCAGCAGAGCATCCACTGTCCTGTATCCTGGCCGGACAAAAAAGTGCCCCATAAGCACCAGGTGTGCTCCTCTGGATACCTGAAATGCCCGTGTTTTAAAACGGGTCAGAAAATGCCCCAGGTTACACTCCCTCTGAGCCCTTCTGGAAGATAAAGCCATTATTTGGGATTTTAAGCCCTTCTATTCCCACACAGTGGAAACCCGAGGTACAGCAAGAAAGGAGAAGGAGGGAAATAGTCACCGAGCCAGAGAAAAGGGGGAATGGTCCCCCCGTGATCCAAGGCAGCAGGAATGCAAAGCCCATAGAGGAAGGAGAAAGGAAAACAGGTGTCTTGGCACAGCACGACCTCGGCCACCAGGGCAGTGTCTCCAGAGGGAGGTTCGTGAAGACAAGGAACACAGAAGGGCTGAGGTGGGAGAGGAGAAGATGCTACAGAAGTAAAAACAAACAGCAAACAGCAAACGTCCACAGCTGTCCCAAAGTCTCCAGGTGGGTTTTAGCTGCTTTTACAGCCCCTAGGGAGCAGCAGGGCTTGGAAGCTTCCCCAGGAATGATGCCTTGGATGCCTTCCCCAGCTGGGAACCTTGGGCCTGGATGCCCTGGAGGGTCACACTTACGTTTGGAGGCAATTTTGAACACCAGCCCTTTGCTCTGTGACTTCGTTCCACCTTCCCCCTCGAGCTCGTGCTCCGCACTCTCCATGTTGTCGAGGAGCTGCTCATGGTGGAGCTCATCCCTGCACAGCAAGGGCCAGGAATTACCCTGGGAAGGGGACACATGCTACCCTGGAGCCCAGCAGTGATGGGCTCTCGGTGGGGCAGCACAAGCACCAGCCACGGGGTTATTTTCCAGCATCCTTCCTGACTTCTGGGCTGCAATTCCTGGCTGCAAGAGCCACGGGAGGTAGCAAAGCCAACACCAGGGGCTTTCTATTGCCACCTAAACCAGCAGAGGAGCCAGGACTTCATGACAGGGAAGAGGAATCTCCATGTTTCAGGAACATGAGCCAGAACTTTGTGACAAGGAAGGGGAATGTCACCTCATGCCTTGACACAGAGGCAGGTTTTTCCTCATCAGTGGTGTCAAATCGGCCACATCCAGCACAGGCACATTTGGGGGGCTTACTCTTGAACTCCCATTCCCAGCTCCTGGATTTTCTGCTCAATTGCAGTTTCCACTTCGCTCTTCTCCAGGGAGTACTCCACAAAGAAAGCTTCCAAGATGAAGGACACAAAGATACTGGAAGGAACAATGAGCAGAACTGAGGCAGCGTTTCCTCACTGGCATTGCCCATCTCAGTATTCCCAGGCTCATTACCCAGTGCTCCATCCCCTCCAGGTCAGAGCAGCAGAGCAGGGACAAGAACACAGCAGATCCCTCTAAACACAGCCCACCTGTCTCCCATGGGTGACCCCAGGCCCACCAGCAGCGCCCTGGCAGGGACAGATCCCCCTTTCCATCTGAAATCATCCCAAAAAATGTACTTGACGATGATTATCACCATCACAATGTGGAAGGCGATGAAGTAGAGCTTGGCAGGCTGAACTGTCACGTTGGCAAATCCATTGGCAAAGAGTAGAGTGGGAGTTAAGGGAAAAGAGGGAAGGAAGAGCTGAGGGAGGAAGCAGGAGCCCAACAAAACCCTCTGAGGGACCATCTCTGCTGCCCATCCATGTACAGGGCCACAGGAAAAGCAGAGTTTGGGAGGAGCATGGATCTGAGAACCACCATGGAAAGGCAAGCCTAGCACTCTAGTGTTTCAGGGACAGACAATGGGCTGTGCAGGGGAGGGAACAATCAGTGGGACTTTTCTCCACCTCACCCTGCTGCTCCAAGGTGCAGCAGCCCCAGGAGTAACCAGTGAGAATGAGGCAACTCCTGCCAGGGGCTGCTCTTAGAGGGTTACCTGGGTGCACCTGTGCAGGAAGCTGCTAGGTTAGAGGGGTCAATGGGGGCATCCCAAGTGTCCCTCCAGGAACCAGGGCTGGAGCATCCAGCAGGGGCTGGGGAGCAGATGGATGCACCTGGGCACAGAGCATTACTCCCAGGAAATGCCAAGGGAAAAGCCCTAGTGCCAAGGGGCAGCACCTGAGCAGGTGGGGCAGCATGTGGAGTCTCAGGGGAAGCATCCCGCTTTCCCCTTTCATCTTACCAGACCTTCCCCAGCGCTTCTAGAAAAAAAGGGTGGCTATGGGGCAAAAAGGGGTTTAAATTGAGTGAAATATCTTCTGTGCCTGCCCTGGCACCAGTCTCACAGGTAGTCAGTGCAGCACATACATAACCTTAATGCTGCCAAAGAGTCAATTACCTTTCTTATTTTTATCTATGACACATATATATATACAGGTATATATATATTCATGTATATACAGCCTTAATTAGAGGCCCCAATGGGAGCTACACCATTTATATTGTTATTCTTCTCTTCTGTTTTACTTAGTCACCTACAGGGTACTACCTAGCAACTACTAATGAACAATTATGCAAGTTAATAGGGAATTAGCCAATTCACCAGCCTATGCTGCCAAAATGAGCAGGTTTTTTCCCTACCTGCTGCACATCCTTTTGCTGGATGCAGCTGTAGTGGAAAAGAAGGCTTCTGCAGAGCCCTCTGCTCACCTTGAATTTAAGTCAGAGGAGCCAAACAGCTGCAGCTCCTCTCAGTGCTTTTATACCTTGTGGGAATTGCCTCCGCCTTTTTCTTGGGCATTGTGGGAACGAGAGGTAGGCCTGGCCAGGGGTATATTAACCCCAGCCCTGGGCACAAGGGATTTATTGCTACTCTGGGTTAGGTGGGTTAAGAGCTCTCCTCTTATTTCAATGTAGGTGTTCTTTTAGGTTATCTCAGAATTTTTTTAGTAGCTGCTATTGCTGTCTCAAGTAACACAGGCTTTTAAAAACACCATGAAGAAAGTAGCATTGAGTGCAGGGGGTATTTAAGTTTGTGATTTTGGGGTGGTAAGGTGCTTTTGTAACTTCCTTTTTTTTGTTTTTGATTTTCTTCAGGGTATTGCAACTCCTTGAAATTCCAGACTGTGTCAAGCATGAAACTTCCAAGCTTTCAGCAGATTCATTGTGCTATAAAAGGAACCTGCCCTGTGTTAGAGGTGACATCTGAGATGGAGGCTTCCCATAGGTAAGCTGAGGATTGTAGCTGTGAGAAGGAGCATGTGTAGGGTACTGGGTTAGGAATTGCTAGGAGGGGTTCTGAAGGTAGCACAGTGGGAAACTATATCCAGCTGGAGGTGTCTTAAGGCTTTTCCTCAAGCACAGCAGATGCATTTAAGTGTATTAAGGCACCTGTAGTGCTCACAGAAATGCTACTTAACTTTGTCTCTCACTTACCCAGGTGTACCTTGTAATGACAGCTGCAGCCTTTGCCTCAGGACAAAGATACACACTGGAGGACCTGGGCACACTTAGGGGACGGTGAGTAGCTGACTTGTGGGGATTTGGCTACTAAATTAATGGAATTAATTTGGTTTTCTTTGTTGTAGCTGACTGAAAGCTAACCAGTGATCACGGGGTGTTCTGAGCCAAGGTGGACTCATTTTCCATGCAGTGTGGATTTACATCGCTGCTCATCCAAAAGCTAAGTTGGGGGGCCATGACTGGGAGATAGGATGATAGCAAGGCAGTGCAGTCTTGGAAGAGTTAAAAATTAGTGCAGGGGGAAGGAACACCTTTGGAGGGACCTCTTTGAACAGCTATAAGGAGCAGCTCTACTTTTGATTGCAGCTGTAGGGTGTGCAGTGCAGAGCAGTTCCAGCGTGTGTTGTGTTTTTGGTGTGTCTTCTGTGTCTTTGGCATCCCTTGGATCAGATCACTCCGGCCTTTTACCCTCAAGGGGCTTGTTGCAAGTGTTGGCTGTCACCTCTTGGTTCTCAAATACTTGTTTCTTGGCCTAATGCTGATATAATTTGCTCTTTTACTGGCAAGCTTGGTTGTCTTGGAATTGCATCCTGGAAATATTGAGCCAGACATCTTTTGAGGCCTTTTTCTTGGCTGTATTGTCATCCATTCTTTCCAGCCATGAGCTGTAATGTCCCAGGGCTTGTAAGGTTGTAAGGATATGTGAAGCATTCTGAATGTGGGATTGTCTCACAGCTGTCTTGATCATCATGGCCAACAGTTCTTAGAACTATTACAGTCTTCTGCTCCTTAAACTCTCTTCCATCCACCATTGCCATACTATTGGTCACCTCTTTTGATCTCATCTCGATCATTGCCATTGTTCTTCTCACTGAGAGCTTTTTTATCATCCTTGTGTCACGCTGTTTGAGTGTTTGTGTTTAGCCTGGAACTGCTCTGCCCTGTGGAATAGACTGGGTGGTAGGTGGAGTAGGAAGAAGACTTTGCAGGTGATCTTTTGCTGTGCTTAGCCACTTGAGCCACACCTTGAATGGAGCAACCATCAGGGTTTGGTGGAGCAGTACAGCAGCATCTCACAGTTTTGTAGCTGTTTGTCTCAATGCACACTGTTGTTGGGTCCTAGGTGGTCTGCCCTGAGAAATGAGAGCTTGGGAAAGGTTAAGCTTTCCCTGTGTGTCTGGGTGACTTTGACAAATAGTTCTTTGGGCTGGTGAGCCAGATGAGTACTGGCAAGTGAGATGAGTATTGATTCCAGTACAGAACTAGATGCTACTGGAGTTGTTGTATTAGTGATGAAACTATAAGCATCCTTTTTTGTGTGTTTTACAGGTGGTCTGCAGTATTCAAACTGCTAGTCCAACATGACAGAGATCCTTGTGAGAAGCTGCCATGGTCAAGTGGTTTCAGATGGAAACTACTACGGCAAAGCAATGCCTTTGGACCCTGTGTTGGTACACACCTTTCTGTCTCTTTCTGCCCCTTCTCCCCCGGGAAGGTCAGTCATTGTTTGACTTTTCAGGGTTGGTGTAAACAGTGGCTATGTTACAGGGTTGCTCTTTATTTTTAGGAAGTAAAGTGCAATATCAGCAGTCAAGGTCAAGTAAGCAAGGTGAGTAGTGACCAGTGAACCGAATGAGTTGTTACTGCTTGGGTGCTAAGTTCTGGTGCAACTCCAGGTATGCATTTGTGTGTTTTAGGCAGTCCACTTGTATTACAGGGCTGAACCCCCCTGCTAACCAGCTGATGGAGCCTCTTTGCTGCCCTTGAGCTACAAGCCTTCCAGAAGTATCGTGGGATTCTGTGATGAAGCCTTTACCTTTTCCACTTGAAGGTGCCATCCAGGTAGCCTTTGGCAACAGCTGAGGATATGTGGGAAGAGTGAGGTTCCACTCAAGTTTCAGCCATGTAACCTTGTCTCTTCTTAACCCAGATATACCTTGTGATGATGGCATCAGCCTCTGAGCACAGCTGGAGAGTGGGGCTGAGGACCCAGGCATTCCTAGGAGACGGTGAGTAGCAGAATTGTTGGGTTTTGGCTGCTGTGCTGCTAAGCTTATGTGCTGATGTTTGGTTTTCTTTACTGTAGCTGACTGAGAGACAACAGCCTGGTGATGGCAGGAACTTCCCAGCTGGTGAGGCAGCCTTCTTTTGCACCTGATGTTAATTTGCCTTGCTGGACTGGTAAGTTGAGGGCTGCGCTCCTCAGAGGGGATGAAGGAGAGGTGCTGGGTTCAGACTTGTCAGGAGGGATTTTTGAAATAGCTGTAGAGATGGGGATATCCAAGAAAGGGCTCCTTAGACCACAGAAAAATCTTGCTTTTGATCATCACTGCTGGGGTGTGCAGGGTAGAGCAGTCCTGGTGTGTGTCATGTCATTTGTCTGTCATACATTGTGTGTCTTCTGGGCACTGCGTGTCACATCTTCTTCCTTACCCCTTTGAAGGGATTATCTGAAATTCCAGCATCATCATTAATGTCTTCAATCTCTGCATCCTTTGGCCTGGTGCCAATACCATTGAACCTTTGACTTGTGAGCTCGGATGCACATCAGAATTGCATCTCTCTTTAGAAGCATCCAGTTGGATATCTTTTAATGTCTTCTTCTGAGCTGTATCAACAGCTGTGCACCACAAGGATCCATTGTAGGAGATTAGAACTTATGAGAGTGTGAAGATAGATAGTGGATACCAGCAGTATGATCCTTTGGTTTTGCTGGGCAGCTCCTGGAATGAGTCATGCTGTTAGCGTCATCTTCTGCCAGGGCTCTTGTTGGCTCACTCTCGGTCTCATCTCGGTCATCTCATTCCACAATCTCTCAGTCCTTGTGATTGTTCTCCTCACTGTGAGTTTTCTCTCCTTGTTGCATCCTGTTGTTTGTCATCTCCTGTGTCACAGGTGTCTGTGTGTGTTTGGCCCGGAGCTGCTCTGCCCTGCTGCCTAGTCTGGGTGTAGGTGTAAAAGGACAAGTCCTGGGCCCCTGTAATTTGAAATTTGTAATGTAGGATGCAGTTGGACTCTAGGTGGTGTCCTAGATTGACACAAGATGTCTGGAGCTGTTATCATGCAGCACCTTGACTTTTGTAGTAACTTTCTTTCAGAGCAGATGGATTAAACCTGTGGCAGAGTGCCCCACACCAGGTGAGGGGGTTCCCATGGGAGGGTCAGTCACTGTTTATCTTTGCAGGGGCAGTGTAAATAATGCCTATGTTACAGCATTGTTCCTTGTCTTTATTTTCAGGAAGTAATACTGGATACCAGCGGTCAAAGGTGATGGAATGAGGTGAGTGGTGACCAGTGGACAGAACAAGTTTTTATGGCTTGGGTCCCAGGTTCTGGTGCAGCTCTAAGCACCCACTGTTGTTTGTGCATTTCAGGTGGTCCACTTGCAAACACCCAGGGGAGGCCAGGTGGGTGCAAGCTTGATATATAGGCATGATGCACTTCAGTCAGAGCAAGGAGGCTGTGGTTTCACAGTCTCTCAATGTGTTTTCTTCTTTCTTTGTTTCTCTGCAGGCCCTGCCACTGCCCTCAGAATGCCTAGGAACAGAGCAAACAGGTAAGCTGGTGTTTAGGTGGGGTGAATAATTAGTGAGTGGTCTGTGGCAGTGTGGTAAGGTGTACCTTTTTGTTTTGCAGGATTTCTCTGGGCCATCCATCCAGATTAGATGAAAAGTTGAGGTGAGCCTGAGGCAGTGGTGTGGAGAGGAGCCCCAGGGATTGGTCTTCTCAAGGGTAATAGTCATGTTTTTGGTTTTGTTGTCTTAGGTATCTGTGAGCAGGTATGGAGCTGAAGTTTGGAAACAGCAGGTAAGTGATAAGCTTTGGCAATTACAAGGGAGAGGGGGGATGTGGACAGGATCTCTTTGGGCAAGTGTTGTCACACTCTGAATTTTCTCATTCTGTTTCTTTTACAGCTGCCATGGGGAACGTATCAACATCCACAGTGCTGATGTGCTCTTTTCTGTCAAGGATGGATTTTGGCCACTTGTCTTCAGAGAGCTAAGTGTTCAGACTGGTGGTTGGGAGGAGGAAAATTTTTGGGAGGCAATTTAAAGTTAGTTTTGAGGGGAGGGCTGTTGTGGGACATACCCTTTGGGACTAAAGTGGGAGGGTTTTCCTCAGCATCACCCAAACCTTTATAGAGCTGTTCCAACCCATCTCTGTGTTGTCATGATCTTCGTGTCATCAGCCTTTGAGTCTTGATGTCATCCTGGATCTTTTTGCCCGAGGAGCCCACCTTTGGGTCTGGCACGATGGCCACGGTCACCATTTTACCTGCTCATCAGTGCTCAAGCACTTCCTAGGGTAGCATGCACACATCCTGAGCCTTGGCCACATTCTGCAATGTCCCTTTGGTGGCAGAGTCCTTCTCTAGGGATTCCTTTGTATCACCTGGCAGTCATTGGACCTACTCTAGGCCTACTGTGCTTCTCAAGCATCCTCTTAACAGCTTCGGCACTGACTTCTTGTAAGGAGATCTTGGCCTAGAGCCTTCTTTCCTTCGGCATCATCGGCCTCTGGCTCATCTTGCACTAGGAATCTTGGTTTCATGAGGTGAAAGTGCTGGGAAGTTTCAGCTTGATGTAATGGATCTTGTGTCTATGTTCTGTTGTTTGTGTCCGTTGTCTTCTGTGTCACAGGGCTTTGTTGTGCCTCTGTGTTTTGTCAGCGTGGGTCTCTACTTGTGTACTTTTCCAGATCAGCCTTATTCTGGCATCTTTACATTCTTACTTCTTGAGGCCAGAAGTACACAAAATGCTCTCATCCCTCTTCCTTCTCAGTTTTGGAAGTATCTTTTTTTCATGTGCCATTCCTCACTGTGGTAGTTCTGTAGGTTCTGTTGCCTCAAAGTGTATCAGGCTCCATTATTTATCTTCTGGAGAGTTATCGCAAGTTCTCACGTCATCTTTGCTTATATTTGGTGCATTTATGCTTAGAGCTGCCCTGCCCTGGCATGTAGAGTTATGGCTGGGTTGAACAGTTATAAAACTATAAACCTCTCTTGTCTGGGGAGTTTTGGGTAGAAAATTTATGGGCCTGGTGTGGGGAGAACTCTGTCAGTTACTCATATCTCACCTCACATTGTCTTGCAGGTCCCCGAGGCAGATTCCGATCCCTGCCGGCACCGATGCTACTGATTATCCCAGAACCTTTTGTTCCAGGTCAAGGAGCAGCAGCTGAAGGGCTGCAGTCAGTGTGTAAGCTGAAGAAGGGGTGTCTGTGAGAGTGTGTGTCCATCTGTGAAAGTGTGTGTGTAGACACATTTGGGTGCATGTTTTTTGCCTTTCATGTTTTTCAATTCTTAAATTGAGAATAAAAAACCACTCCACCTGCATGCCTCTTCTCACCTCCCTGCAGCTGGGTTTGTTCTTCTCTATGTTCATGGCCCAGGCTGGGATGCAGACTGGGCATCACCAGAGCCAGGGTTTTGTCAGGCAAGGTGATTTTGTTTGAGGCTCCTGGGAACTACATTCACATGGAGTGCTGCAAATGTGCACCGATGGCCTGTGGTGGCCAGGGTGTACTGGAGCTGAGTGAAGGTGGCTTTGTTTGTAAAT